TCCTAAAGCAGCTAGAAATTTAGACTGAGCCCTGGAACACATGAAGCCGCCTTACACTAAATCTGAAGGACCAAGGGTCTAAGTCAGTATTTTCCACTCAGAGTGACAGCAGCTCTTCAGGGTCTCAGGCAGAGGTCTTCCACATCACCTACTACCTGGTCCTTTGAACTGGAGATACCGGGGATTGAACCTGGGGCCTTCCACATGCAAAGCAGTCACTCTTCCATTGAGACACAGGAGGCCCCCCCAACATATGACATCATAATACAGGAAAGGCTCTGAGCATTTGTCTTGACAATGAACTATCACAACACATTCCTACACACACACACACGAACCCATTTAGGCCCATTCACATATTACACAGCAAAAAAAACCTACCCACTGAGTGAACTCAACAGGTGCTACAGTCAATCTAACTAGTCAAGAGTACTTGACTATGATGCACATTTTCAAACACTTGTTTGTCACTTTCATACGTTAAAATTTTAGATTTACACATCTAAGATGTTAAATGTACACCTAAGAACCATAATGTATGAAGCGGTCTTCAGTTCTAAGAGAAGAAGGTGCAGAGAAGAGGGTGCAAGTTCATTGACAGGCCTAATTTTTAGAAAACAAATGTGTCACAATATTAATGGTGGCAAGAAAAACAGGGTTTTTAATTTTTTTAGCTGAAATCAATGAAAATGCTGGAGATTCAAAATGACTGAGAAACTCATTTGAGAGATCAGTATCCCACATTTCCTATCCTCTCTTTGCTTTATCAGCAGAGAATGCTTGTTTCAGATAAGCATGGGAATATATTTACGACGAAGTGAAGGCATTTGTTCTTTACTAAGGCAACAGACTGCAGCTCAGTTATAGAGCATCTGCTTTGTGCACATAAGGTTCCATGTTCAGTCTCTGGTTAGAGGCTCTTATGTAGTAGGTGTTGGGAAAGACCCTTCTTGCCTGGAGAGCCACCGTCAGGCAGAGTAGACAGCTCTCAGCAGCCTGATGGTCTGACTCAGTTTTTCATGCATTCAATTGCAATAGGGCTCCATGAACACAACCATACTGAAACAAAGCATCCTTTGTCTATGAAGCGAGGGGGACTTTGTGGATTGCCTACATACAGTTAAAAGGTCATTTAATGCTTTAAAAACCAGGGAAATTATCTGTTTTGGAGCTCAGAGTTTTTATAGCCCTTACAAACATTATTTTGTTAATTTGTTTACAAAATCTACGTCCCATCTTTCTGCCCTTACAAGGACCACCATGAATATTACAAAAGCTTCCAAACCTTTCCTATGCTGCTGCTACCTCTTTTTCTCACCAGTGTTGGCTATGAAGGCTTTGCAACTGCAGACACCTTGAGTGGGTGTCGTCACTGTGAAAAGACCAAAGTCAGGATGTTCATATTGCCTTATGCCTTCCCTGCTTGCCCAATAACCCCTGATCCTATGAACTGCAGCACTGCAGGCAGCAGATCGCAGGATGTAGCATGAAGGAACTACTTGTAGCATAAAGAAGACAACCTATCCCATGTACTGACACAGCATCACATGAGCTTCTCTGCCTTAACCGATAAGAGCCACAGAAGGCAATGCAACTTAAAATGACCTAAGCTGGCAATTACTGCTTTCAACAATCTTTATTTCACTGCTACATCTCAAAGCCATTTCATATTATCATGCACCCATATTGTACATGTTAGACAGTGTTACATATGTTTCCAAAACATGCCTTGAAACACACATGAGATATGAATACAGGTCACAGGGAACTCCTAATTGGCCATGGTCCCCTGTAGAATATGCCTTTGTAGGAAATCCTCTATCTTCCTGATGGAGCAGTGCTCAACCTGACTTATAACAGAGAAATTCTGAAAAAATGTTGCCACTGATGTCTGCAAGGTCTGAAGTTTTGTTAGCAAATAATTTTCTACTTGTGTGGAATAAGATCGAAGCCACAACCATAAGGACCCAGATACAAGCTCCTGGAAGCCCAGAGCATGAAAAATTCCCTGTTTGAAGTAGTCTTTCTTTAAGAATGTATAAGCCACTTTTCCACTTTAAAGAAAGGCCTCCAAAGCAAGACGTCTTAAAATCACACCAAAAACAAACAGTGGGCTAAAAACTAAATAAAACCAGCAGAACAGCAACCAAATTCCGAAAGACTTATATCAAGATATAAAACACCATTGCACAATATAAACATCAATCCATTTACATCCTGCAGAACAGTCTTTAACTGGTTCCGCAATGACCTACGGATCTGTTCAGGGACAATATTCCTTAAATGAGGTGCCCCCTCTAAAAAGGCTGCCTCTCTTGAGGTTTCCACTGCCTGACCGTGAAGGGAGGGGGGACTCTGTGAAGGCTTCTGATACAGATTTTAAAGACTAGGAAAGTTCATGTGGGAGGTGGTCCTTCAAGTGCTATATTGCCAACATATTTAGGACACTGAAGATCAAAAACAGGACTTAGTTTTTCTACAGTATGTATTATACTGATGGAGTCCCTTACACTCATCTGCCACTTACTTCGCTGCACATTTTCATGCAACAGATTTAACCGCTATAGTTAATAAATTAATTAATTTTGGCAAGGATCTCCTGTGTTCAAACTTGCAAAGCGTATGAGGTGATGAAGCGATATAAATAGTATTTCACTATGAACAGAGAAAAGCTTGGCTGTCTTTAAAAGTACCACTAGCCCATCTGAGCGGAATCCATTCAAACTAAATGCCGAAGAGCAGGAAAGCAAACACGGTAATCGCTTAATTCCTGAAAAATCTTTGTGGCCATGGGGCAACTCGCATCACTTTAGCTGTCCTTGGGACTGAAAAGGCCACAGGGTTACATGGGTGGAAAAGAACAAGTGGCATGTATTAAACAAGAGGTCCTCATTACCTTGGGATGCAAAGCCAAAATGATAAATATTTATGAGGCAGCCTGTGCCCAAAAGCCTCCGAGAGAAAGGGAACATTCTGTGTGTGACAGTCTGAAAAAAGGCAGAGCTGAGTAATTTAGAGTAAGTTACAGCATGAAAAACTCACCCTCCTGAATGGGTTTGCAAGTCTAATAAGAAAAGTTGAGAACTGCCGGACGACACAAGCTGTCACACCCCTACTCAGCTGCCCCAGGGATCCTGTTGCGAACTTGGCAGCCAAGGACGTTCTGCAGCACTCCTTAAAAAAAAAAAGGGAAATCCATGACTAGGTTTCACTAACTGATCTTGCCCCACTCTGGTGACAGGCCCTCTGTGTTTAAACAGGCAAGCAGAAATCTAGCCACGGAACCTTTCCCCCAGGAGGCAGGTGCTTCTCTTGCCGCTTTAAAGCCACAAGGAGGCCTGTCAGTAGAAAAGAGGCCGCAACCTTCAATCGATGGGTGTCAAAGTCAATATGAGTCCATGAACTTGTCTCATTTTCTTGCCACTGTGTGGTGTCAGCGAGCAAAAGTGGGTGCCAGATTAGATCTAAAAAGCAGGGGAGGAGGGCAAGCAGAGCTTCTGGCAGCAGAGGAAGACGTCCTTCAAACATCGCTTCTGACCTGCACTCCCCTTCAACAGCTGTTTTTCATACAACTGCTGCGGAAACATGTCAGAAGTGTCTCCGGCTATGGAGAAACATCTGGGGGGAGGGGAGTGTGAAGGAAAGGAGGTGGGCAGCAGAAGAGTTAAACACCTATCCCCTGCCTACTACTGCCCATGCAGGGATACAGGTTCTGAGACCAAGAACCACTACTAAGCTCCTGGTTTGGGTCCGCATAATAGAATGTGCAGATAGTGCAGGTACACATTATTCTTCCTTGGGAGTGGGTATGTGTAAATGTGCACTTGGCACAGACTGCATTTTTATTTTCTAGGCTCATTTTATTTTATTTTTTAAAAGAGCAGAATGGGTTGAGAGCTAAAACGTCTCCAGAATCTGGACACTTAGCTCCCATATTCCCAAATGCTATTTATGGCCATATAAGCTATGAGTCTGCAAACCTTCTCCCCACTGGAGACTTCCTGCCTTGCAGGGGTGGGAATCTGAACTTGGCACAGCTGCAAGTGAGATTGGTGGATGTGGAGCAAAACCTTCGCCCTCAAGGGCAACTGAGACTCAATAGTTGGAGATGAGATCATTTGCTCTGTGCCACTGCCATCTTTAAGAATTTGGAAGCCAAGACAATGATGACTGAATGGAACCAGCCAGTAGGTAGTTTCAGGGTCCCATATTCTGCCATTTGCAGTACATGGTGACTTCTGCAAACCATGCATGATGGATCAAAGTGGGGAGTTAAAATGATGCACTAAAAACAACACAAAAAGAAAAGCTCCATGAAAATTTAAAGGGGGGGGTCTTGCACTGATTCTTGACCAGGGCCCCGGTCACACGGCAAAGTTGCCACGGGAGAGGCATGGGAGTCCCGCAGATTTTCCGGGCACGATCTCACCCCAACATCTGGGAAGCACAGTGCTCCCGTGGCGAACTCGTGGCTCCCCGCCGAAGGTGCGGAGTTAAAAACTAGTACCTACGAGGTACTAGTTTCCTGAAACCGCGGGCCAAGGGTGGGTGTCTGATCGCATTCCCGGTGGACTTACATGGCATCCGGCGGCCGCTGCCGCTCGTCTCCGCAGGTTGCGCAACAGCGCCCAACAGCGCATGCGCACAAAGAGCGATTGCCAGTGTGATCGCGCCGCACGGCTTCTGTGCCGCGCTGCAGGATACCCATCTGATCGGCATTTCCCCCAAACCACGGGACCTCGACCAGGACGTGTGCTCGGGCAGCCCCGCGTTAGTTTCCTCCGGGGCATTTAGCCACGCCTCCCCACCGCAATATCTGGCCCATGTGACCAGGGCCGGGGCCCAGGTACAGAAACAACGTGTGCTAAGCTTTCATCTATGGGCCGGAAAACCCAAAAAATCAAGTCTGAGTGGAACTGAATGTGGATTTTGTTTGAACATGGCACATAATGTGCATGATGTCTGGCATGTTCCTTGGAAAACTCTCACTTCTCTTGCAGCAATGGTACACCAGCACCATGAATATGGTTTGCACCTGGCTGACAGACCGCATGGACCTTCAGCTTCACATCTATCAACTAAAAACCCTTATTAGGATAGTAAAGGTAAGTGTCTTCATATGCCATTTCATTTCTCAAACAAGGCACAAGAAGTTAAAGAAATGGTAACGAAAAAGCATAAAGTCAACCAAATGAGTCATCAGTGAAAGATTTATTAAACTATATCACTGTCATGGGCTGAAAGACCTTTATAACCAGGTCAGACCAATATGCTTGAAATAAGGAAGTACACATCAAAAATCTGAAGAAGTGAGCAGTGACTCATGAAAATTTATACCCTGCCACAAATTTTGTTAGTTACTGGACTCTTGCTCTTTTCTACTGCTACAGACAGACAGCATGGCTACTCATCTTGATCCATATCAAAAAATGTTTGCATTAATTTTGGATACAGATTTGGGGAGGGCATGCTTCCCGTTATCTTAAATTTTCAGGACTCTCCTTATCATTTTGTGATCCCCCCCCCCATTATTTTAAGGACCATTTTAGTAATTGCTCCCCCAATTCCTAAAGCCCCCTCCCCAGAGGCAGCAGGAGAAGGAGAAAGGGAGGAAGAGGAAGCTGGTCTCACCACACAGTTGTTGGTCAGCATCTCCCTCCCTTTAAATTTTAAAGGGCCATTGTTTGCTATGGGAAGACCTGGCCTCTCCCACAGAAAAGAATGGCCCTTAAAAATTCAAAGGGCGGGTGATGCCACCAAACAACTATTTGGAGAGACCAGCTTCCTCTCTCTTCCCCCCTCCTTGCTCCTGGAAAGTAGAAAGGGCAGGTCTACCACACACAGGCAATAATGCAACCAGACCAGGCCTACCCAACCAGCTGTTTGTCAGGGTCTCCAGTCCCTTTACATTTTAAAATGGCCCTTTAAAATGTTCTCCCTCTATCTCTATTGTGCCTCTCCATCCCCTTGCTTGATGCCTCTTTACTTTCTCTCCACAAAGTCCCCATGTAGTTCTGAACCTAAAAAAAATTAAACTGAGATGAGATTAGTACCTCTCCAAAGAGCTTGAAGCAAAACATTCCCTAAGTCAGCATGTCTCCTCTAAAGAAAGCATTAAAATAAAAGGTTTTCATAAGTGTTAAATATTGCCTGAGGGAGTGCAGCAAAACCCAAATATTCAAGCAGAATATGTCCAGAGCATTAATCGGTAAGCATGGATCCATGATTACTTTCTCTGGGCTACTGACATATCTGGCTTGCATAGACATTACTACTGAATAATTGAATTCCATAATCACACAACAGCACTATGTGTTTGATACTGTATGTGTGTATATATATACAGAGTACATTATGTATAAAAAGCAGATATATTTCAGTCATCCTCACACTGTTGCTTATGTTAATTAATATATTTTTCTTTGGATTTCACATTTGTAAAACTGATTTAAGGGGCAGTCTTTACTTTTTACTTCAAGTTTCCTTGACTGCAGTTACTGCGAGAAATGCAGATTAGAATAATTCATTTAGGTAACTGAAATAATTTCTTTCCAGTGGGTGTTCCCAGTCTTTTAGACGAGATTGCACAGGTGAAATAACATAACCTGAATGTAGCCTCTTTTCCATGTGCGTGTGCATATGTGTGTGTATTGGACACATGATAATTATTTCAGTGTGAAATCTCAGTGCCTTAAATGAAATAATAAGATCACAGGAGGAGGTAAATACATATTTGATCATTTTTGGTTCTCTGCAATGCTTTTTGCCGAAGAGGATTAAAACAGTAGAACTGTGAACTCTAAAAATCAAGTCATGAATAAATTACTAAAGGACCTTTTAATTTTCATAAATAAAAGCAATAGGTATCAGCACATTATTATTATGTGTTAGCTGGGGGGCACTGAAAAGCATGGCAGATGTCTTTTATGCTATTACCACTATGTAGCAGCTAAAAAAAAATTAACAATTTCTTTAGGCATACTAGCTATCTAAAACACTGTTAAACTGTTTCTTGGTGTTAAACGGCAAAAGAATTTTACTAATACTTGCATTTTTAACCTGCAGTTGTATTCTGTGACATCAAAAGGCTCTAAATTTAATCAAATACTAGTATTAATTGACAGTTTTCTAATTCACCTTTTGTGCAAGAAACAACCACTTATCTGTATTCAACTGCGGGTAGGATTATGCATTGCAAGACTAACATGGGACTTTCAGTCCTGAGTAGGTCTCATAATGACAGTGGAGAGAATGGGAGTGTGGGGGGGGCTGGCGGGTTAAAGCAGGGTTCCCCAGTGTCGTGCCCATGGGTACCGTGGTGCCCGCTAACACCTTTCCTGGCACCCATCAAGTGATTTTAGAAAGTGGATGGGGCCAGGTGGGGCTTTTTCCCAGCAGGGCTTCTGATTGGGCACTAGAGAGCTGATTGGCTGTGCCAATTTTTAAAAAGTTGCTTCGGCAACAGCTGCCACCAAAGCACAAGGATCTTCACTGTGTTACTGTATGTGTTCATTGTAAAAGGCAACCGGTTAAACAGAGCTTCTGCCTGAAATGTTGAAGAGTTACTATTAGATTTACTCCCTGACATTTCATGGTTGACTTTACTTCCTGCAGCAGCCATTTTCTAGTTGCACCCAGGGGTGTGTATTTGGCATAAACCGAGCCAAATAAATACCCGAAATATACCTTATCAGTATTTTTCACGTATCATGTAAGCCGAATATAGATCAGAGATCTGTATTCAGCTACCAATATAGCTGAGTCCAGAAAAAGCCAATTTTATTTGGTGTTAATTCAGGTTCGTTAAGTTATACCGAAACAAAGCTGCCAGCCATTTAAACCTAACATCTGACAGAGGGAACCGCCAGTCAGCGGTTCAGTTTAAATGCCTTCCCTTTCCTTCTAGCCATTAAACCTATCAGTTTCACTCCCCTCCATTTTACCATTTCACTCCCTTCCACTTCCAAGTGGAGGGGAGTGAAACTGAATAGTTTAATGGCTGTCAGGAGCCATTTCACTCCTTCCTTTCACTGCCCCCTGCTTGGAAGCAGGGGGCAGTGAAACAGAGGGGTTAAATGGCTGGAAGGCATTTCAGCCTGTCAGTGGGGTAGTGCGCTGTCCCCGCTGTTCAGCAGAAATGCCTTCCAGCCATTAGACTGGTCAGTTTCACTCCCCCCTTCTTGGAAGCCCAGGGGAGTGAAACTGACCAGTTTAATGGCTGGCAGGAAAGGGAAGGTATTTAAGCATGTCTTCCCCCTCTCTCTTTCCTTCCCCAGCTGCCTGGACACTTCCAGTGGTCAGTTTCACTCCCCTCCACTAGTCCCTTGTTAGGTTTAAATGGCCTAAACCTAACAGCTGACCAGCAGGGAGCGAAACTGACCAGTGGAAGTGGCTGGGTGGCTTGGGGAGGGAAGGGAAGGCATTTAAACATGCCTTCTCGCTCTCCCTGCCCTCCCCGTGGGTATAATAGACTCAAATACATTTGGAAATACCGAATATTTCCTGAGTTGGAATACTGTACTGGTATTTACTTATGTTATTTTGGTCTGATAGACACAAATCCAAAAAATACCCCCCAAAATTTTCTGACACACCCCTAGTTGCATCCACCACCCTGAGTCAGATTTCCAAAGATGCCTGTAGGTTTAAAAAGGTTGAGGTCACCTAAGTTAGAGGTTGTGCTTAGTTCTTCTTTCTCCATGTATCAGTTCTCCCCTACAAGTATCTCCAAGGTTATTTTTACACTAGTCTCCCCCACTGGAGCCCTGGGATCTGTCTTGGTGGGTAGAAAATGGCCTTCCAGAACATTTGCAGGGAGACTCAATAGCTGCAGACATCTCCTCTGCTTACTGATTCTGTCCCATAGACGCTTCCTTCCCCCCCCCTTCACATTCATATGACCTTGACAAAGGCAGGCTTGGGAAAATGCATATGCTGAGATAATGCGTTGTGCTACCCTATGTATCCTGTAAATACTGGACGAGACTGCTCATAGTGCCTTCAACCTCACGTAAGTGTCATTTCTTGCAATCCAACAAAGCTACTTGAACTCAGCACTAGAGCAAAGGTAAGTGACTTGAAGGGGCCCCCCCACCCCACCCCCTTCATTCTGAGTGCAGGCCACCGTCTCCTTGGTGTTTCTAGGCTCACAGACAAGTTTTGCCAAGTTCTTTGCATCATGTCTCAACGCATACAAGCAGTAGGGCCTTTAGACTGGTCCATCCTCTTTGGTACCAAATACAAAGAAAGAGTATGGAGCACCCTGATCACAAAGTCCTGGGGAAAGCTAGACAGATCCATGGTGGCTAGCAATTCTTCTAGCCAAGGGCGAAGACTGAGGTAATATAAAAGGAACGCTTGAAGTACATTCTTCATCCACACAGCACATCCAGTTCCACACTTAAAATTGTCAAACAAGCATAGCAACAAAATGGAATGCTAGCTCAAGCTCTCAGTCTGTCCATTCCCACCCTCTAGTTCGCATGCTCTTTATTTATTTACTTCTTGTTGCTGGGTAAGAGATAAACCGCCCCTACAGGATGGCTGAAAAGGGAGACAGCAGTGCTGCTTCTGTGTCAGACACTTGTTGGGTGGAGGGGTTGCTTAGCTAATTTCCCCCCGCCAGAGAAGCAGGAGGCAGCAATGAGTGAGTGGATGGGGGAGAAATGGCAAGGCTGACCATCTGAGCCAGCACTCCGTTCACTGACATGTTCTTCTGTTAGAACAGTCACAACTCTGGGAAGAACCCACCAGAGTTTTTTCATATGCTACACCCGTCTTTCACCCAAATATAATTATATCAGATAATGCAGGTCAGGAGAGGCAAAGAGAAAAGAAGATAAAACAGAATATGTCGAGGCAAACCGGGATCTGAATGACGATTTGCAAGCTAAACCTTGGGTTTCACAAACTAACCATAATTAAAATAAACCATCTGGCCCTACCCACTTTCTAAAAAATACTTGGTAGGTGCCATGAAAGTTGTTTGGTGCACCTATGGGCACCTAGCTGAGGACCTCTAAGTTAGAGGATCTGAGTATATTTTGTGTGTTTCTGCCATCTATAACTGTATATATTGTCATGTATTTCTTAAACTGGTAATGAGTACCTCCTTGTTATGTAATAAAATACCATGTTCCAAATAGCTTCCACATCAGTCATTTGTGTACAGGGTTTCTCCTCCTGCTAGGGATGTTCACACTGAAGGCTTCTTCTGCATGTGTATGTCTTTAACTGGATTGACCCATTAGCTATTTTTACTGATAAAATGTTTTATCACTTTCTGTTAAAAGGACCTGGATTCAGAGCCCCTCAGTTCTTTCCCACTTCCCTACAGACAAATGGCACTAAACCAAGTATCTATTAAAAAGACAAGACTTGACTTCTGAGTCCCATGTCTACTTGTATTCAATGCTCCCTCTAAGCTGTGGAGTCCTGTGAGCAAAATTCTACTTTGTGATCTACTGGCATTAAAGTTGTGAGGGAGCAATTTGGCTACTGCATAAATTAGTTTGCTCTGGAGCCATCCTTCCTGAGCAAAGACAAAAATGTGTGAGCCAGAGGATAAAAAACTGTGAGCCAACGCAGCTTAGAGGGAACACTGCTTGTATTCAGCACAATGTTATGTTCTTCAAAGTATTTACCACTGATTTTACCAGCCAATGAGTTGAAAATCATGACCAGTGCAATCCTAAACAGAGTTATACCCTTCTAAATCAACTGAAGTCAACTGGCTTAGAAGGGTGTAGCTCAGGGGTGTCAAACATGTGGCCTAGGGGCCAGATCAATACCTTGGAGGGATGCAATCCAGCGTGCAAGGCCTTGGCTGTTTCCTGCTTCCTTTTCCAGTTCTGCTGCCGCTGCTACATCACAGCTTACTTTACCAGACTCTCTTAATCACACAGGAGAGATAGGTAGGCAAGCCTCTCCTGTGCGATTGAGAGAGTCTGGTAAAGCACTGGCTGAGGCTCCTCCCCCTTCTCCTCCCAGGGGAAGAGAGGAAACCAGCGAAAGCTCACTTCCTGGCCAATCGTATACAGGAGACAAATGGAAGCCTTTCTTTCCTTCCACTGGCTGATGCTCCTCCCTGAAGGGAGGCAAGGAGGGAGGGAACAAGGGAGAGATTGCTTTGCTGGGCTGCCTCAACTGCACGGCAGAAATACCAGGCATCTTTAAGACCAACAAAGTTTTGTTTAAGGTATGAGCTTTTGTGTGCCTTGCTACAGTATGTGTGTATTCTGTTGGGATCCTTATGCTGTGTGTGTGTTTTGTTGGGCTCCTTATTCCAGGGCTCTCCTGGGTGCAATTGAGTTCCCTCCCCCTTTTCACTGTGTTCATGCCCTCATGATCCAGTCTTTCTCAGTAAAAAAACAATGTGAAAGTTAATTGTGTTTGTCTGTGTCCTTTATAAAGTTTATATCTCCACTACCTGACATTACATTTTATGACACACATGGCCCAGCCCAACAAGGTCTCAGTTATGTCAGATCCAGCCCTCATAACAAATGAGTTCGACACCCCTGGTATAGCTCTTTTTAGGATTGCACAGAAAGATAAAGTCCAATTTGTGACAAGGGGAAATCCTAGAAATGGGTTTGGTGATACTAATCCAAATTTTATTTCCTTTCTTAACACCTACCCCTCTTCCCCACAACATGAACATCTCTCCCCCCCCCTCAGAAAACATTCAGAGATTTTCGATTGCAAGGAGTTCTGGATTCTACCCTGAACAGCAAAACCTATGAAACAGTGCGAAACCGACTGACTGTAGAAGAAGCCACGGCCTCAGTAAGTGAAGGAGGAGGGCTTCAAGGGATCACCATGAAAGACAGCGATGAAGAAGATGAAGAGGATGATTAGCCCCCTCGTCTCCCCCTCTCAACTTGGATGTAGCCTGGAAACCAGTGCATGTATCTAGTCTGTTATTCAGTTAGCCACATTAGGACATTTTCTGTCAGCTCTAAATGCCCATGGAAAGTCTCCCAATACAATTGCCATTTTAGCTGTGTGGTACTTAAGATTTAGCACCTCTGTTTCGACTCATTGAGTTTCCCTAATTTCATATCTATATGTTCATAAGCAATATGGAACACCATTGTTTAAAAACTGTTAATGGAAAAAAATCTGCATAGAAAACATGCTAGGTGTGTCCCTGTTATAATTAAAGTATAAATGATGCTTCATTAATGTACTGTATATACATTGATGGTAAATTGTTGTGAAGACAAGTGAAACAAGTACTTTCATATCTTTGTTTCTCTCCTGTGGATGCCAGCTGCTTCAGAAACAGAGCGAGGTGGCTATAAATGACCTTTTAAAAAATATATTTTGGGGACAAACAAGAAACCAGAAGTCAGAATTATTCCTACTGAATATACCCGAAGCACCTTCCCTCCAATATATACGGCTAACTTTGTAGAAGTGACATATCATAATAGTCAATCGTCTTGCCACAGAAGGTTGACTTTGATCACCTTGTCCACGTTATGATCCAGAGCAGTTGTTGTATGTCAACATCTCTCCCACTATCTCAATGTTACACCTTTTTTGTTCTGAGTTCCGATAACTGTGTTTGTAAAAAGGAGAACTTTAATTACAATCTTAGACTATACAGATGTGTTTATAATAACAAGATAACAACAATAATAATAATAATAACAACGATATCTGAAGATTTCTTTGGGTAGATTGTAACCATAATTTAAATTTCCTTTTGTTTTCACAATGGTTTTTATATCTTGTCATGTACATTGCATTTGGACCAGTAACTTGCATGCCCTTGGGTTCCCCCCCCCCCAATCCCCTTCCGGAAGCTTTTCTTTTCTGTGTAAAATAGTGGATCCATCTTGCTTTTTTTGCCTTATACAAGCCGACAGTTGTAAAAGTGTGAGAACTGTGGCTTCTCAATAAATAACTATTCAGATGTCCTAAGAATAAACGCTGGAGTCTTTTTATGTCTGTCTTAGGGAGTGAAAAACAAAAACAAAATAAGAGCAAACTTTGGAAAAAAACTGTAAGAGACCCCCCCTCTTCTAGAATAAAGGAATTTTCTTTTCACATGAATGTTTTTATAGTTTGTTAATTAAAGGGGTTTTCTAATTTACTCACAAAAGTCTGGGATGTAGAGGCATTCAAAATCCTGCTATCATACTTTATATCACTTATGCCTGCAATCCTTCTCGCATTTACTTGGGAGTAAGCCTCACTGAAACTGAACAGGATCAGGCCACAAGAAAGGGATTTTCACTCTTTGTCACCTCTCGGTCAAAGAAGAAATCATTCAGGCAGCACAAAGGTGGAAAGATATCAAAAGCAGACGCAATTAGCAAAAGGCCTATTGGTGCCACAAACTGTCAATAAAAGCTACTAATCAAGGCTTACGTATGGATGCTCTTTATATTGCATCTTTCCAAATACCAAAAACACCGGTCCTTCTAACCAAGCATTGTCTAATCTGACTGGCAACAGATCTCCAGGGTCTCTTGAAAGGGCGTCTCAAGAAGTGTCATCAGAGATCCTTTAACTGGCAATACCAAGCAATGAATTTGAAATGTACACAACCAAAGTCCATGCCCTGCCACTAGTCCTTGCCCTCTCCTTATCTCATCCTTATTTCCTTACTTAAAACACATATATAGAAAGTAGGGCTGTTAGGTCCTTTCTGGCAATCAGCGGAGGATTGGGGGGGGGGGGACTTACTAGGAGAAAAAAAAGGCCCAGGCCACATTGCCGATGTTGCACAGAAAGTGACATCATTGTATCAGTGACTTCCAGGTGACACTCTGGTATTTGGGCAAAACTATGTGGTAAAACTGGCTTTCACCATAGAGTTTTTGCCCAAATGCAGGGCATCACCCAGAAGTCACTGATACAATGACATCACTTTCTGTGCAATGCCAGCAATGTGGCCTGGGCCTTCCTCTTTCTACTGGTAAATCCCCCACTGGCCAGCTGATCGGTGGCTAGGGGCCAGGGCCTGGCAACGGGAAATCCCTGCCTCCACCGGGGGTGGGGGGGGTCTGGCAACCCCAATAGGAAGGATAGCAACTTGGAGACGGCCCATAGAAACAGCCTGACCTGACAGCCAATGGAGTCTGCTGCTTGTGCAGTGCTACCACACTAAGACTCAGTAAGTCCCATTGAACTCAGCGGGAGTTTCTTCTGAGTAAACATGCAGTAGGTGAAAAGTAAGTTAGGATTGTGCTACATGACTATAATCCTAGCACACATTCCTTAATGTGAATCCCACTAAATGCAGGGACACCTTTCTGAGTAAATCTGCAGTAGATGAAAAGTAAAGATGGACTAGATCTTACCCCTGCAGGTTCTACCATTCCACTGAGCAAAAATTATTTATTAAAATATTTATAAACCACCACCACCTGTTTGTATGGAGGACAGCATCCACATAAAAACATTAGCACAAAATACAGGACATTACTCAGACTGAGAAGTTACTCACAAAACAAAAGACTGCTTTGTTGGGTGGTCAAATGGACAGAAGTTTGTAAGAGTCAGTTTCACACTAACAAACATACCGATAAAGCATCTGCTGTTGCAATTCACAGCAATCAACAAGAGTTTCAGCAAAAGTTAGGGGTTTTGGTCTGTCAAAGGATTTCAGCACGTGCTCAGAATCTCATTTCATATTCTGAACCAGAGAACAGCATTTGGTCAAAATAAAGCTCAGTTCAGAATACAGCCAAGCAACATGTGCTCAGCAATTTCATACTTTAAACAAGTAAATTCCCATCACTAACCTCAAGGTTATCGATTATCAGAAACCCAGATGGAAGGCTGATTGAAGGAACGCTAGGTTGGATCTAGCCCGCTATTTCACTCAATTCTGGTCAATTCCCCTCCTTACCATATCCCTCATGACTTTTTGTCCATACACGTTCAATGATCCCCTAGACTGAGGGCCAAATTTTGCATGGTCACGTCTTTTTCACCAGCTCTGAAAAGCCCACAAGCAAACTATGAATGCAATACCACTCTCTCCTACCAGTGGTTTATCTCCAGCATGTGGTATTCAGATGTACTACCACTGAACATGGAGATTCCATTTTCTTACCAAGTCTAACAGATGGTAGTAGACCTAAAATTAGAATCTGAATTGCATAGAACACAAATCACCAAGACATGGGTAGACTGGGACAAGAAAATGTCCCAGAAAAAGGGCCACACCCACCACCAGCCCACTTGGCCCTGCCCCACCCAAGGGAGGAAGAACTGGCCTCCTTTTTCCAAGCCCCACACACAGAGAGAAATTGGGAGGGCTGGAAGAGTCCCCTGTTCAAGCCTTGGATGGGCCGGGTGCTGGCTCCCCCCCTGCAAGGTGGGTCTTGGACAGGCCGGGTGCTCCCACAGTCCTGCTAGCTGATTTGGGCTGACAGCCACCTTTCCCCTGGCTGCATAGGCCTCAGACGGTACAGGAGCCACCTCCCACCGGCCATGCAGACCAAGCACTGCCTCACATGAGCAGGTACGCATTGGCTGGGCTGGCCCCGGGCGGCAGGGGATCCCAGTGGCCATAATGACCGATCCACCCCTGTACCCAGCTGGTTTCTAGTCTTTCTGCTCACAGGCATGCAAATTCCACACTCTGCTTAACTCCACCTCAATGTACTGCCCAATATGTTTCTTATAAAGCTGTTACAAAAATTATGACAGACTAGGTCCATTTTGAACAAATACATACCAAAAATAAAGTTGTGAAAAAACAGAATAAATTTATTGGGGGGGGGGGGGGGGAGACACTCAAAATGACAAAAGAAAGCTAGATAATGAAATCTGTTTTCATTATAATGATATTAATTAAGGGTTACTAGACTAAGGGGCAAATTAGACAAGATGCTGGAAGATCTGTGATTGATTGTTTCATCGTTTTATGATATATTGCAGCCACTGCAGGGAAGCAGTTAACCCTTTGCACTCTTTCCTAGAAAAAAAAACACACCCACTTAAAAAAAATCTTTAGGAAGCACTGTTCAGATCTCCCAACACTGTGTGTGATGTATGAATCAGAGGAATTAATTTTTAGAATAAAAATGTTTATGTTTAATTCATAAATAAATAGATACATAAAGGGATGGCAACAATCCATTTGAGCCAAGTGCCCACTGCTGCTGTTGGCAGTCGTGGCTGGGTACTGTGTCTGTGGTCATTTCAACCTCCATCATGCCTCATCTGTATTTGCATTTACAGCAAGGTCCTGAGGGCTGCATGGGTAAAGGTGGCAGCACACATGTCTGAGACCATCACTCCGTTTCATCATGCACAGCTTGATTTGCATTAATTGGAACAGATTAATTGGTTGATTTGATGCTGTCCGACTCTTGAGTCAACTGAACAGAAGAAGACAATATGCTAGCTGATATCAGCTGGGCTGATTTCTTCCATACCAGCAGACCTTGACCAGAACTTGGACCAAGAACAGAACTGGTCTGGTGACTAAAGAGAACCTCCCCATTCAGAGGCAGTCAGCCACAAGTGGGGCATGGAGACCCGAGGCCTCTCCCAGTTGTTGCACCCTGGCAGACACTAGTCAGCAGCAGTAGATTATTGTGGAACATGGAAGTTCCCCATTTAGCCATCGTAGTGAACAGCCAACGTGGATTTGTCTAAAGCCACCCAGGTTGCATTCTAATGCACTGATTTCCACAACAAGTTAATTATGTGTTGTGTCCGCAGTTCTCAGAGATTAGCAACAGAGGACCACCATTTGGGTTTAATATTTTTTGCAGTACCCCAAGCCTGTCAGACTCAACAACACTCTCTGGCAGTGATTTGCTTATTGAGAAATAATCATGTTCCAGGCCAGACCAGCACTGTGTCAGAACTGGGGTTCTAGCAGGAGAATCCAAAGATATAGGCAGTTCAGGGTGTAGACTTTCCAATTTCCCGGGGGGGGGGGGGGGGCTGGGCTGGGCCAGAGGCATTGCTGTGCTAGGAGCAAGGGTGGCTCCCGGGGGAGGCTGAGAACCTTCCTGAAAATTTCGGCAGGGGCTGCCCCCACG